AAAATTTAGCTTAACTATAAAAAAAAATTGTATTAAATGAAATTCTTTTTTCTCCAAATAAAAATTAACTCTAATTTGAAAAAAATTTTTAAGCTTAATATAATCAATTTCTAAAAAATAAAAAGGTTTTCCCAAATGAAAATTAGGCTAAATTAAAAGAAAATTCGGCTAATTAAATTTTTTAGCTTCATTGAATATAGGTATTTTATTACATAAAATTTTTGGACTGAATTACATATAGAATAAAAAAAAATTTTCAATTTAATCATGAATTAAGCATAATACAACGTTGGCATAATAAAAATTTAGATTACTACAAATTTAGTTTAATAAAAAATTTAGATTAATAAAAATTGGTATTTATGAAATTGATTTTAGAAAAAAAATTCGGCTCAATGAATTTCTAGATTTTAAACAAAATTTGGCTTAATAAAAATTTAGTTTAATACAAATTTAAATTAATAAAAATCGGGCTTATTTAAAAATTTGGGTTAATGAATTTCTATTTTCTAAACACAATTCGGCTTAATAAAAATTTAGTTTAATAAAAAGTTGGCCTAATAAAAATTCGGGTTAATGAATTTTTATTTTCTAAACAAAATTCGGTTTAATAAAAATTAAACTTAATAAAAATTTGGCTTAATGAATTTCTATTTTCTAAACACAATCCGGCTTAATAAAAATTTAGTTTAATAAAAAGTTGGCCTAATAAAAATTCGGGTTAATGAGTATCTATTTTCTAAATACAATTGGGGTTAATAAAAATTCAGTTTAATAAAAATTTGGCCTAATAAAAATTCGGATTAATGAATTTTTATTTTCTAAACAAAATTCGGTTTAAAAAAATTCGGCTCAATGAATTTCTAGTTTTTAAACAAAATTTGGCTTAATAAAAATTTAGTTTAACACAAATTTAAATTAATAAAAATTTGGCTTAAAAAAAATTCGGGTTTATGAATTTCTATTTTCTAAACACAATTCGGCTTAATAAAAATTCAGTTTATTAAAAATTTGGCCTAATAAAAATTCGGGTTAATGAGTTTCTATTTTCTAAATACAATTCGGCTTAATAAAAATTCAGTTTAATAAAAATTTGGCTTAATAAAAATTCGGGTTTATGAATTTTTATTTTCTAAACAAAATTCGGTTTAATAAAAATTCGGCTCAATGAATTTCTAGTTTTTAAACAAAATTTGGCTTAATAAAAATTTAGTTTAACACAAATTTAAATTAATAAAAATTGGGCTAAAAAAAAATTCGGGTTAATGAATTTCTATTTTCTAAACTCAATGCGGCTTAATAAAAATTCAGTTTATTAAAAATTTGGCCGAATACAAATTCGGGTTAATGAGTTTCTATTTTCTAAATACAATTGGGCTTCATAAAAATTCAGTTTAATAAAAATTTGGCCTAATAAAAATTCGGATTAATGAATTTTTATTTTCTAAACTAAATTCGGTTTAATAAAAATTAAACTTAATAAAAATTCGGGTTAATTGAATTTCTGTTTTATATATACACGAAAATCTCAAAAATGAAAAATTTTTCTTTCACGTGAAATTACAAATAACAATCTAAAAACTAATTTCAAAAATGATTTCAGAAAAACCACTTTCTTATTCCCTTCGCTTGGCAAATAACCATTAAAAATTCCAGATATTTCGATGTGAAAAGTCGATAGATAAGAGTTATCACATATATATATGTATATATATACCCATAAACATCGTCAAAAGTAAAAAGAACCTTGAAGTGCTTTTGCGAGGCAAAGCTGGCAGAAAATCTTTCAGCTGATCATTCAATTCGAAATGTTACTGTTTTTTTTTTAGTAATACTTTTTACAAACTTAAAAAGTAATAATAAAAAAAAATTAAAATTAAATTTTTTATCAACTTTTATAAAAAAAAAAAAATTTACTATAGAAAAATAGACGAAACAAAAATTATGAAAAAATTTTTAATTTTTAAAAAATTTATTTTTCTTAAATTTTTTTTTTTATATTTATTAATTTTTTTTTTAAATTATAATTAATAAATTATTTTTTAAACAATTTTTTTTCAAAAAAATAAAAAAATTTGCTACATGTGTTTTTTTTTTTTTTTTTTTTTTAAATTTTTCAAGCGTTCCCAGAGGGGGCGAGGGGTGGGGGAACAGTTGATACTTATTTTTTTGAAGGGGGAAAAAAGAAAGACGCACTTGAACTCGCGGGAACTTCTAAATCTGTCAAAAAGACCATATAATATAATCTTTCAAGACGAAAACGGAGGCTGGTATATATTACCCTAACCAAAACCAATTTCTTCCCTCACCCCCTCATCCCTCTCATTTCCCCCCTCTGGTCATAGGCGCGCATATGATTACACATATGTTCTTAATTCCCACGCAAAAGTGATTCAAACGAAAGCAGATGAATAATAATATAAGATCGAAAAAGCCTTATTTCTTGTTTCAAAAGAATGATAATCACAAAACTTGACAAAAATTATTCCCTTCTTTTTTTTTCTCTCATTATTATTATTTTTTTATTATTAAAAAAAATTTTTTTTTTTCAACAAAAAAAAATTTATATTAAATTTTCAAAATAGGAAAAAATTTTTTTCCATTAAGCCGAATTTTTTTTTCAGTATAATCTCCATTAGGACAAATTTTCATTTAGGAAAGTTTTCATTTAGCGAAATTTTTCATTAAGCTGAATTTCAATTTAGTCGAGTTTTTATTTAGCGGAATTTTTATTTAGCATTTTTCTTTTATAGCTGAATTTTTATTTAGTATATTCTTCTTTTAGCCGAATTTCCATTTAGCCGAATTTTTATTCAGCTGAAATTACCATTGAGCCGATTTTTTATTCGACATATTTTTTATTTAGTCAAATTTTTATTTAGCTGAATTTTCTTCATTCTGACGAATTTTCATTAAGTATATATATATATGTATATTTTGCTATTTAGACTAATTTTTATTTAGCATATTTTCATTTAGCTGAAATTTCCATTTAGCATATTTTTTATTTAGCTAAAATTTCCATTTAGCCGATTTTTTATTTATATTTTTTTAGATCGAATTTTTATTTAGCTGAATTTCGTATTTTATCCGAATTTCCATTTAGCATATTTTTCATTTAGCTGAAATTTCTATTTAGCCGATTTTATATTTATATTTTTTCTTAGATCGAATTTTTATTTAGTTGAATTTCGTTTTTTATCCGAATTTCCATTTAGCATATTTTTTATTTAGCTGAAATTTCTATTTAGCCGATTTTGTATTTATATTTTTTCTTAGATCGAATTTTTATTTAGCTGAATTTCGTAATTTAGCAGAATTTCCATCAAGTACTTATTTTCCATTTATGTGAATTTTCATTTAGTCATATTCCTCATTTAGCCGAATTTTTATTTAGCATGTATTCTATTTAGCATGTGTTCTATTTAGCCGAACTTCCATTGAGCCGATATTTCATTTAGCATACTTTTTATTTATCTGAAAATAATATTTAGCTGAATTTTCATTAAGCGTTTTTTTTATTTAGCTAAATTTACCATTTAGCCGAATTTTCATTTAGCAGTTACTTTTTTTTGAAAAAAACTTTTGTTACCAGTAGAAAGTACACGAAAAATCCTCCAAAATATCCTAGTCATAAATTAAAATTCATAAATCTATGTGAAAGACAGAAAGGTCGGAAAATGACAGTGAATTAAGAGGGCATTTTCAAGGACGTTGTCACTTTCATATTCCGACCAAGATATCTTTGACACAAGTTTATGGATTTTAATTTGTGACTAGGATTTTTTGTAGGGTTTTTCGTGTACTTTTTGATGCTGACAAAGGTTTTTTTTTTTAAAAAATTCCTACCTCCATTTTTTTGGGAAAAATTAACTTTTTATTTACATTAATTTACCAATAGTGAGTCAATTCAATAAATTAAAAATTTTTAATATATAATAATGGCCAAAAAATAATATTTTCTCGTTGTATCTATAACAAAAAAAAAAAATTGAAAAATAATTTACATTTTATACAAAACATATTCAGTTTTCAAGAGTATTGTTGCATTAGACAAATTAATAAAAAAAAGAAGAACATTTCTCTTTTTTTTGGATTACAAAAATTTTTATATAATGTCAAAGAAAATAACGATTTCCATATATATATATATATATATATATATATATATATATATATATATATATATATATAGTAGTCGATATGTATACGAAATAAGAGGGGGTGGAGATGCAGGTTGACGTGGGGGGGAGAAGAAAAAAAAAGAAAAGGGGTGGTGGGATTGAGTAAAGCTAGCTTCTGCTTTGAGCCATCTGAAAATAAAATACTAACGAAGTTAATTAATTGAATTTCGCACAAGTCAGTCAAAGTAACGGTGTGTATTTATTTTCGATTCTTTCTTCTCTCGCGCATCGCAATAAGAGGCATGTGAAAATCCATCAGCATTTTCCTCTCTCTCTCTCTCTCTCTCTCTCTCTCTTGCTCTCTTTTTCGCTCATTTCGTTTTTCTCCCTTTTTTTCCCTGTTACTCTCTTTGGTTGAAAAATTTTCCCATGGATAAAATATATAGTATATTTTATATATTCCTATTTTCTCTCTTTATCTTTTTTTTCGTATTTCTGATATATATATACATGTGTGTGTGTGTGTGTGTGTATGTGTTGAAAAGAGCCGCGGCCGTTCATTAGCGAATCCTTTCGGTTGGTATCGGTTTCTATTTTTCTGGCTAGTCGCGCACATACGAAATTTGATAGTTCTTCGTATTCGTCTTTTGCTGATTTTTATTATTTATGTGTGTATTTGAATTTATATATATATATATATATATATATATATATGATTGTCGTTGATTTTTTTTTGAATTTTTATTTAATGTTTAGTTGGGGTTTTTTTAAAATAATTATCTCCTTCTCCTTTATCTTCTTTTCCATCTCCTCCTCCTCCTCCAACTCCGTCTCCTTTATCTCCTTCTTCTCCTTCATCTCCTTCAACATCTTCTGTTCCTCCATCTCCTTCCCCACCTCCTCAATTACCTTCTCCTTCATCTCCTTCAACATCTCCTTTTCCTCCATCTCCATCCCCACCTCTTCAATTTCCTTCTCCTTCATCTCCTTCAACATCTCCTTTTTCTCCACCTCCATCCCCTTCATCTCCTTCATCACACTATGCTCCTATTCCATCTCCTCCATCTTCTTTTCTATCTCCTTCATCTCCTCCCTCTCCTTTATCTCCTTTTCATTCTTCTCCTTCATCTCCCTTTGCTCCTTTTCCATCTCTTTCATCTCCTCCCTCTCCTTTTCCACCTTCTTCTGCTGTATCTCCTTCTCTTTCATCTCCTTTTCTATCTCCTTCATCTCCTTTTCCTTCTTCTCCTTCATCTCCCTATGCTCCTTTTCCATCTCCTCCATCTTCTTTTCTATCTCCTAATCTCCTCCCTTCGCTTCTTTTCCATCTCCTTCATTTCCTTCATCTCCTTCATTTCCCTTTGCTCCTTTTCCATCTCCTCATTTTCTTTTATATCTCCTTCATCTCTTCCCTCTCCTTTTCCACCTTCTCCTGCTCTATCTCCTTCTCTTTCATCTCCTTTTCTATCTCCTTCATCTCCATTTCCTTCTTCTCCTTCATCTCCCTTTGTTCCTTTTCCAACTCCTTCATCTCCTTCATCTCCCTTTGCTCCTTTTCCATCTCCTTCATCTTCTTTTATATCTTTTTCATCTCGTCCCTCTCCTTTTCCACCTTCTCCTGCTCTATCTCCTTCTCTTTCATCTCCTTTTCTATCTCCTTCATCTCATTTTCCTTCTTCTCCTTCATCTCCCTTTGTTCCTTTTCCATCTCCTTCATCTCCCTTTGCTTCTTTTCTATCTCCTTCATTTTCTTTTATATCTCCTTCATCTCCTCCCTCTCCTTTTCCACCTTCTCCTGCTCTATCTCCTTCTCTTTCATCTCCTTCATCTCCCTTTGCTCCTTTTTCATCTCCTTTATCTTCTTTTATATCTCTTTCATCTCCTCCCTCTCCTTTTCCACCTTCTCCTTCTCTTTCATCTCCTTTTCTATCTCCTTCATCTCCTTTTCCTTCTTCTCCTTCATCTCCCTTTTTTTCTTTTTCCATCTCCTTCATCTCCCTTTGCTCCTTTTCCATCTCCTTCATCTCCTCCCTCTCCTTTTCCACCGTCTCCTTTTCTTTCATCTCCTTTTCTATCTCCTTTATCTCCTCCCTCTTCTTTTCCACCTTCTCCTGCTCTATCTCCTTCTCTTTCATCTCCTTTTTCTCCTTCTCCTTCATCTTCTTTTCCTCCATCTCCTTTTTCTTCTTTTCATCTATCTCCACCTTCTCTATCTCCTTTTCCTCCTACGCTATCTCCTCAATCTCCTTCGTCATTTTATTTTTCATTAACTTCTCCTTTTCGTCCTTCTCCTCCATCTTCTTTATCTTTTGTTCCTCCTTCTCATCCCTCTCCTACTCCTTCATCTTCTTCTCTATCTCTTTCTTCTAAATCTCCTCCTTGTTCTTCTTCTCTAGCTCCTTTTCCTCCTTTTCCTTCGTCCTTCTTCTCCTCTACCATATTTCTTTATCTTCTAACACAATAAATATCAGATAAATTCTCGTCCATATTCCTCTCTAATTTGCTACAATTTTCTTCAAATCAAAAATATTTCTGTCACAAAATAATACCTAAAAAAACAAACAAAAAAAAAAAAAAAAAACTTTTAACAACTTTTTTTCATCCTAATTCTCGCAAACTTCCTCAAATATCTCATTTCAACATGTTTTTTTTTACCACTCCTTTTTTTTTCCTATTGTATATGTTTCTTTACGATCGGTAGTTAAAAATCAAAAGAGAAAGAGAGAGAGAGAGAGAGAGAGATGAAAGAGCAAAGTGGTTATATATCCTTTGGCGCGCAAAAGATCGCTGACCCAAATGAAAAGCGACGGGAAAATGTGTGGCACACAAGAAGTGTGTTTTCAGGGGTAGTATTATAGCAAAAGAAGGAGGAAGGCGTCTCTGACCCAGACTACTTTTTATCCACCGGATCTTTTTCCCCGGGAGTTTCCTATTTTTCTCTCTCACCCCCTCCCCCCCCCCCTTTTTTTTTTCTTTACCACCCACATATATAGTCATATAAAAATCGTTCTCTTTCTCTCTTCGTCCAGGGTCTGGTGTGTCTGCAGACAATTCGCAGTAAAATTTTTACGGTCCCGCCGCCTGCAATGCCCCTCTATATATATATATATATATAGAGAGAGAGTGAGAGAGAGAGAAAAGTCGTTGCACACAGCATCTAAAATCTCTAGTCGAGCGCCAGACGTAGAGGATGGTTTTTTCGTCTCGTGTGTATATATATGTATATGTGTACGCGACCTGGTCGCGAAAAACCCATAAACCTATACACAATTCTCCTTTTTCTTTTTCTCCTCTCTTTTTTTTTTTCCTACCTCCGCAATCTCCATCATCAAAATACTGTGTACCACCCTAAGTTTCAAACCCCCTTTTGCATCGTTTCACCAAGAGCGTGTTACTGCTTCAATCCTCCCTCCCTCCCTCCCTTCCGCGCATATAACCTTCCCAGACAGCTATAAACGAGGAAAATGCATTTCCCATCTCTCGACATTTATTTAATTTTACTTATATATATATATATATATATATATATATATATATATATATACGAGCGTATATACACACGCACGCGGTAGCTGGCCACTTTAATTGCTCGTTTCTCCAGACGGGAAAACTATAAAGAGCGTATATAACGCTGTTGGGAATGCTTCGTTAGATATTGCCGTCTAGATATCTGTATATATATATATATATATATGTATGAAATGCGAGAGATAATGCCGATCTGTTATAAATATATATATATACTAGGGGGGCTTCGCCCCCCTGCGCGCTTCGCGCGCCAACCCCCTATTTTTTATTGGTTTTGTAAATGTTTGTTTCTTTGTCTTTTTGCACCAAATTTTCGCCTAAATTTTGAGGTTATGTTTGTTTCTTGGTCGTTTCCCGACAAAATAACTTAACCTTAAAATTTATATCAATTTCGGCGGAAAATCCACCTCTTCTTCAACGTAAGGAAGGAGGGGGGGCTTGCGTCTATATTCACAGTCTTGAAACGAACATAACCTTTAAATTCAGGTCATTTTTGGCAGGAAATCTACCTTCACTTGCTATATTTAGAGGCTTGAAACGAACATAACTTCAAAATTTAGGTGATTTTTGGTGGGAAATACGGAGAGAGGGTAAGGGAGGGGGGAGGACTTGCGGCCCTATTCAAAGTCTTGTAACGAACGTAACCTTAAAATTTAGGTCATTTTTTGCGCGGAAGGGGGAGGAGAGGGGGGGACTTGCAGCTATATTCAGATGGGTCATTCCATATCAAATGTAACCAAATATTGTACTATCCATGTAAAAAAACATGGGTTGCCTCACCCTTACCTAACCTTGTCAAAAACATGTGTTGGGTACACTTGACACGGAATGACCCATCCTTGTCAACATTTCTGAAACAGCGGCGGCGGCGAAATCTTTTTATAATATGGGTCATTCTACATGAAGTGTAACCAACCCATGTTTTTGATATGGTTAGTAGTTTTTGGCGGAGGAGGGGAAATGAGAGGAGGGAGGGGGGACTTGGGCTATATTTAGAGCCTCGAAACGAACATAACCTCAAAATTTAGGTCATTTCTGGCGGGGGAGGGGAAAGGAGGGGGGATATCCCCCCTCCTAGGTCAAAATTTGCTGAAACAGCGGCGGCGGCGGCGGCGAAATCTTTTTATAATATAGTAATGATATATGGAAGATTTTGATATGGATCGACATTGTTTTTTTTCATGGGTGTCCCATTTTAATCTATCAGTCGAAATAACTTTTAATCAGTTGATTTTACAAAAAAATGTTTTAGACAAATGTTATTGTGCTCACAGGTGGACATCCAGTGGTAAACTTGAATTTGACCTAAATGACCTAATTTAGGTCATTTCAAGGTCACCTCACTTTTTTTTTTAAATGGAACCACCTACTTTTTATGCCGGTAATCGATAAAGCAGGAAATTCCATGTCGAAATCGTTGATGCACTTTTTTCCATAGATCGACCTATTTAGGACAAATAGGTCATTTAATTATTATTGTATTTGGGGAAATAATTTTAAACTAATTCATTTTACAAAGACATGTTTCAGTCAAAAGTTGTTGTGCTTAAAGGGGAATATTCAGTGATGACCCTAAATTTGCCCTAAATGACCTGAATTAGGTCATTTTAATTTCAACTCATTTTTTTTAATGGAACCATCTACTTTTCATGTTACAAATCGAAAGAGCAGGAAATTCCACGTTGAAATTGTCCAAGTACTTTTTTCGACAGGTCGACCTATTCAGGTCAAATAGGTCATAATAAATTTCACCTACAAGGCCTTGGTGTATGTCAAATAATTTTTCATGAAGAAAGATCAAGTTTTTATGCAAGAAATCGTCAGGACAAGAATTTTTATGTAAAAAACACTAGACCGAACTAAGACCTTGTATAGGTGAAATTGATTATGACCTATTTGACCTGGATAGGTCGACCCATCAAAAAAAGTACTTGGACAATTTCAACGTGGAATTTCCTGCTCTTCCGATTTGTAACATGAAAAGTAGATGGTTCCATTAAAAAAAAAATGAGTTGAAATTGAAATGACCTAATTCAGGTCATTTAGGGCAAATTTAGGGTCATCACTGAATATTCCCCTTTAAGCACAACAACTATTGACTGAAACATGTCTTTGTAAAATGAATTAGTTTAAAATTATTTCCCCAAATACAACAATAATTAAATGACCTATTTGTCCTAAATAGGTCGATCTATCGAAAAAAAGTGCATCAACGATTTCGACGTGGAATTTCCTGCTTTATCGATATTTGGCATAAAAAGTAGGTGGTTCAATTTAAAAAAAAAAGTGAGTTGACCTTGAAATGACCTAAATTAGGTCATTTAGGTCAAATTCAAGTTTACCACTGAATGTCCCCCTGTTAGCACAATAACTTTTGTCTAAAACATTTTTTTGTAAAATCAACTGATTAAAAGTTATTTCGCCTGATAGATTAAAATGGGACACCCTGTATACTATAATAATCGCAGTTATTAGGGAAAGAATATTACAAATTCTAAAATCGCTTTATAAAATTAACATGGATTCAGATAATCCAAAAGTAAAATATATCATTGGAAATGTATAAACACAAGCTTTAAGCGCGCATGTAAACATAAAATTTGTAAATTAAAATCCCTAGGCTATAGGGAATTCAAAGAAAAAGGACGTTTTTATAGGGTTTTTTTTTTTTTTTTGACGAATCCAAAAAAATATTTAAACTGAATTTTTTTAAAAATAAACTATCACATTTTATTCTTTGAAGGCTTCAGAAGAAAATAAGAGTATAGTTAGACTGAAAAATATTGGTTTTTGTAGATTTTACAGTGAATTTCCGAAAAACTGTTTTTTTGGCTTGTTACAAACATGCAAAGTTTGAAGGCTTCGAAACATGGTTTAATATTATTTTATGATATTCAAAATCATGTTGAGATAGAAACAGAAAAGAAACAAGAATTTTGCTACAGATGTTGGAAAGATTCTGACACTGTATTATTATTATTATTATTATTATTATTATTATTATTATTATTATTATTTAAATAATTAATAACATTTGAAGAAATGATGATAAATCGTCAATTCTTCTTTTTATTTGGAAGATCATTTAATTTTGTGTCAAAAAAAGAAATATTAAGTATTACCAAGAATCAAAAATTA